TCACAGCGGATGGCTCAGGTGGATGACGTGGCGGATGACTCGGCACCACGTGTCGCTGACGTGGTCCAACGTGGAGATGACGTGGCAGCTGACGTGGATCGTCTTCTTCCTCGGGCCTGCGTGATGACGCAGTGATGATGCAGGCAGTTTTCCGGCGGCGCGTACAGCCTCTTCCGGTGGCCAAACAAATCCCCAAAAATACCAGATTTCTCGTCTCGCCGAGACGAATCTAACGGTATGATCAGATCCTGATTCCGAGCAACTTGAAAAATCACGATTTTCTAACCTGTAGAAATTTACTTGAAAATGAGAAAACAGTGTATGGAAACTCAACCTCGCTCTGATACCACTTGTTGGGATTGGAAAATTCTTCTATTCAATATCAAGAACAGAATTACAATAGGAGGAGCAAACTCTCACACTCAACTATTACAAAAAATCAATCCTCACTAATACATTTCTACAGTAAGTGTATTTCACTCTTCACACACTTTTCTCACTTTCTAAACTGATACTATGAACAACAATGGAGCACTCTATTTATAGGGCTGGTTTGGAGACATGAGGAAGTTGCATCCAAGCTTACTAGTTATCTCCATATCTTCTCCCACACCTATTTGTTGGAGAGATCTTTCCAAGAAGGTGCCTCTATGTTAAGGTGTCTCTTGACAACTCCAAGAAAGAAGGTGGAAGATACCTACAAAAGTGTGGCACTATCTTTAAATTTAAAATCTAATATTTTGAAATGAGCTTACAAGTGCAAAACAAAAGTAATAAAGTAATATAAATATTATGATACCACACAGTGCCTATACCGTACGACCGGTATACGGTGAGCACCGTATACCAGTATACGGATTTATATTTTTTTTCCTTTTTTATTTTTGATCCGATTTTTATAAAATTTATATTAACATTTTTTATTTTTCATTATCTTTCAAATGAGACCAATATTGCCTATGTAATTTTAACATATTAACATTTGCGTGTAAAATATGTAACTTTACGTGTTAAAATATGTAACTCACATTCAGTCAGACCAAATGCAACTCGTGTGTATAAATATGTATCTCTACGTGTAACAATATGTAACTTTACGTAAAAAATATGTAACTCGCGTTCAGACAGGTCAAATGCAATTCGTGTGTATAAATATGTAACTCGCGTGTATAAATATGTAACTTTACGTGTAAAAATATGTAACTTTACGTGTAAATATATGTAAGTCGCGTTCAGGCATGTCAAATGCAACTCGTGTTTATATATATGTAACTCACTTTTAAAAAGATGTAACTTGCTTATAAAAAGATGTAACTTGCTTATAAAAAGATGTAACTTGCTTATAAAAAGATGTAACTCGTTCATAAAAAGATGTAACTCGATGTATTATCAAATGTAACTGAGACCACTGATCCACTCCCAAACAGATTCAATCTTCTATTTCACAAATCTATCATCTCCCAAACAGATTTGATTTTCCTTATAATCCAATACTCATTAATATAATAGTTCGATAATTTCTTAACATTACATAAGCAATATTGGTTTCATTTGAAAGATCATGAAAAATAAAAAATGTTGATATAAATTTTATAAAAATGGGATCAAAAAAAAAGAAAGTTATCATCATTTTTAAACAACAAAAGCAAAAAAAACAGGGAAGCTGCGTCGTTTTGCAACCGGGCGCACCATCCTCATGGTGCGCCGGTTGCACGGTATAATTTGCCGATACCACAAGTACACGTGTACATAAATGGTTATCATAATAACATATACTACGGTATTTAAATATTACTTTAACAATATTTTAGTAACCACCACATTTAATTGTAAAACATTTAAGGACCATGCAAATTAATACTTAAGCTTTATTTTCCAATAAATGTCGAACAATCCTCCTTCATTTATTGGGAAATAAACATGCTCATCCTTGCCAAATAGACCACTTATCAAGACTTATGCATAATTGAAAGTGTCATGAAGATTGAACTTTCATTTAGTGCAATATTCTGTACAATATTTCGGATCATAATAGTAGACTAAGATTTGAACTATATGACCTCTTTGAAAATACTGAAGATATTACACACATAAATCTCTATACATTTTCACTTAGAAACTTGACACAATTAACGGCCTTGTGTCCATATCCATTCATGAGCTCCAACAAGTAAAGCCTTAAACTTGGTGAATCGGCCGCAATTCTAGCTCACATAGGTAGGTCTTTTCAAACTGTGTTCTGCAATCAAATACTTTATCAAAAGATCTATTAAGACATAGTCAACCTCATTACACATTGCAGACTCAAGCACTTACCTCGAGATGATTTTTGTTCAAAAGTGCTTCAACCACAAAGTGACTTACTCATCATCATTGAACTCAAGATCTAGCGTTGTACTAGACGTTGAGTTGAGCTTTCATTCATTTGTGATTATTTTCCAAGGGCTTTAACCCCATCCCTTTTGCAGTTTTGTACACCATGTCTCTTGGCATCGCTTTTGTAAAAGGATCCGCAAAATTCACATGCGACCGTACAAAATCAATCACAACAACTCCAGAACTAATAAGTTCCTGCACATAGTTGTGTCTCACTCCTATGTGCCTTGACTTACCATTGTACACATGGTTATAAGCTTTTGACAGAGTTGATGCACTATCACAATGGATTGATATCGGAGCCATAGGTTTAGGCCATATCGGTACTTCTGACACTAAATCATTTAGCCATTCCGCTTCTTTACAAACTGATGCTAAAGCTATAAACTCCGAAGCCACGGTAGAGTCCGTGATACAAGTTTGTTTCTTAGATGCCCATGAAATAGCACCTCCTCCAAGAAGGAATAACCATCCACTTGTGGATGAATAATCCTCTTGATTAGTTATCCAACTTGCATCCGTATAACCTTCTAATATAGAGGGTTCACTCTTGTAACATAAGTCGAAGCTCATTGTTTTCTTTAGATATTTCAGCACTCGCTTCAAGGCTTGCCAATGAAATATACTAGGATTACTAGTATATCTACTTAGCTTTCCTACCGCAAATGCAATATATGGCCGGGTGCTAGTCATTGTGTACATCAAACACCCAATCACCCTAGCATATTCAAGCTGTGATACAGCGTTCCCACTATTTGGAACTAATTTCCAACTAGGATCCATGGGATTGGAAACCGGTGAACAATCCAAACTCCCAAATCTTTTCAACACTTTCTCTATAAAGTGAGATTGTGTTAAGGTGATAGTATCACCTTGCTTGATTATCCTAATTCCAAGAATAACTTCCGCTTCACCCATATCTTTCATGGAGAAGTTTGAACAGAGAAAAGCCTTTGTCTCATTTACTTGCCTCAAATCAGTGCCAAATATGAGCATGTCATCCACATATAGACAGATAATGACACTATTACCAAGCTCATTAAATTTGCTATATACGCACTTGTCTGATTGGTTTATTTTAAAACCATTTTTTAGCACCACCTCATCAAATCTTTGATGTCATTGTTTAGGTGCTTTTTTCAGACCATACAAGGACTTGACAAGTTTACAAACTTTCTTTTCTTGTCCTTTAACAACAAACCCTTCGGGTTGTTTCATATTCACCTCCTCCTCCAATTCACCATTTAAGAATGCAGTTTTGACATCCATTTGGTGAATAACAAGATTGTGAATAGCCGATAAAGCAATTAACAATCTTATGGTAGTTATTCTAGCTACCGGTGCATATGAGTCAAAGTAATCAATACCATGTTTTTGTTTAAAGCCTTGTGCAACCAATCTAGCTTTAAACTTGTCAATGGTACCGTCTACTTTCATTTTCTTCTTGAAAATCCATTTACAACCGATTGGTGTGAAATCGGGTGGTAAATCACTTAGAACCCAAGTATTATTGCCCATAATTGAATCCATTTCATCATTCACAGCCTCTTTCCAGAAGGAAGCATCTTGTGATTTCATTGCCTCCTCAAAAGAGTTAGGATCCTCCTCAACACTATAACAATATAGTGTTTGAGTTAGGAGGGTCTCTCTTGATCCTTCAACCAAATATAATTGGAAATCGGGACCAAATGACTTTTCTTTTCTAGCCCTCTTACTCCGTCTAATTTCAGGCTCATTTTCATGATCCTTTTCCAGTTCATGAAAATTTGAATTACTTGAACTGAGATCAACATCATTTGGCCTAGGAGTAGAAGTGAACCGCTTCTCATCAAAAAGAGCATCCTTAGACTCAATAACGGTATGAACCGCAATTGAGTCATTCGGTTCAATAACATAGAACCGATATGATTTACTATGTTCAGCATATCCAATAAATATGCACTCTACCCCCTTTTCACCCAACGTTTTCCGTTTAGGTTCCGGTAATCTCACGATTACCCTACAACCCCATACCCTAAGATAACTTACTTGGGGTGTTATTTTGTGCCAAAGTTCATATGGGGTAATCTTATTTTTCTTGTTAGGCACTCTATTAAGAATATAAGAAGCAGTTAACATAGCATCACCCCAAAATCCATTACTTAAGCCCGAATTAGACAACATGGAATTAACCATTTCTGTTAAGGTTCTATTCTTTCTTTCAGCTATGCCGTTTTGTTGTCGCATGTAAGGGGCTGTTGTTTCATGGATTATTCCAACGGATTCAAAAAATTTAGGCTCATAATATTCTCCTCCATCCATTGCCTCATCTTTGGAAAATAAAAGATATATATAACAATATCTTGTGCAATCATCAATAAATGTGACTACATATTTTTTATTTCCAAAAGAAGGAGTGTTATGGAAATCACACAAATCACTATGCACTAATTCAAGCATGTTGGATTCTCTTTCAACATTTTGAAAAGAATTTCTAGTGATTTTATTTAACATGCAAGTTCTACATTTTCCTGTGTTAACATTATAAGGAGGAATTAATCCTACTTTAGACATGTCACTAAGTCTACTATAATTAATTAACATGACATAACCTATTGTGCCACAAAGAAGAATCACAAACCATATAAACAGAATTAACAACTTTATTTACAACACTTAGTTTGAACATGCCATTACAATAGAAACCTTGGCCAACAAATACACCATCCTTAGATAAAACAAACTTATTTGCTTCAAAGCTAAGTTTAAACCCAAAGTTATTTAGGATCCCACCGGAGACAAGATTTTTCCGGATTTGTGGTACAAAGTACACATCATTAAGAATTAATTTCTTTCCGGAAGATAATTCCAACTCTACTTGCCCAATTCCTTGAATTTGCACAGTAGCGTCATTTCCCATGTATAAGATTGGCCCCTCTTGCAACTCTTTTAAAGTCTTAAAAGATTGCCTATCTTTACATACATGCCTTGTTGCTCCGGTTTCGATCCACCAAGATTCATCATCCTGCACAACACAAATTTCAGAAAGCATAGCTACAAAAATCATGTTGTAATCAACATCATTTGTAACTATAAAAAGATTTTGATCTTGGTTGTCTTGGCAACCATTTGGATGGCCGTTCGATTGGGCCTTCTTCTTCACCTTCAGGCAGTCCCTCTTGAAATGTGGACCACCACATTCCCAACAAGAGCCTACTTTCTTATCTTTCGGTCTCTTTTGAAACTTGGAACCTTTGGTGAATTTCCCGGGACGTTTTTTATTTTTCTTAGTCCCACTTGACTGTCCCTCCTCCATAACATTTATAGAGGAAATTGGAAGATCATTCTTTTTACCATTGTAACCTTCACGCAACTTAATGCCTTCTTCAATTTGAAGTCGGCAACCAAGTTGCTCCATTGACAAATCCTTTTTTTTTTGCGTTTGAGACTATTTTTCACTTCCTTCCATGAAGGTGGTAATTTGTTGATTATAGAACCGACCACAAAGGTTTCATTTACATGCATGTTATGAATCAAAAGTTGATCATATAAACGTTGAATCTCATGAAATTGCTCCATGACCGAACGAGAATCCACCATTTTGTAACTATTAAAGTTAGTAATGAGAAATTTCTTGTTTGAAGCATCCTCGGTCATATATTTGGACTCTAGAGATTCCCACAACGTTTTAGCATATTCAACATTTTGATACACATCAAAAAGAGAATCACACATACCATTCAAAATGTGTCCACGGCAGATATAGTCATCATTGTCCCACTTTATGCGACAATGACTTGTTTCCAAAGACTCGGGCGGCCTCGGAGTGCTTAACACGTAGACCACTTTCAAAGTGGTAAGCAAAAAATGCATCTTTTCCTGCCACCTTCGAAATTCCACACCTTCAAATTTTTCCAATTTTTGAAAATTGGTGTTGATATCACGTTGCGTAGCGGCCATATTTACGGACTAGTAAACTTTTAGATTGTTAGAACCGGATGATAAAATTAGTAAAATATAAGGGTGTATAAATATGGTTGGACCGGATATCACTTCTAGTCACGTATAAAATACGCTTTCCTAAAAGTTTACTACTATCTACCCTTATCACAGTAACCGGGTTACAAGATAGAACTTTTGAGATAAAAAGAAGGTGTATGGTGTATTTTAGTTACCGATAAAATAACACCGAACAAGTGATTTGTATATAAAGTGGTCTAAACACTTTATTACCAATACTGCAGATAAAAGTAATAGAGTAAGGCATATAGAGAAATTGACAAAATGATTTTGCCGTGCATCCTTCATTTCAGCATGATCCTCATATTTATAATTAAATTGATGTCTCTTTTAAAAGGATTTCACCAACCGAAATGAACTTACGATGAAACGGTTGTCAAACTTCCTTCCTTGGAAGGATCACACCTTTTCAAAAGTACACAACTATTCTTTTTAGAAAAAGTGCGGCATTATCTTCAAATTTAAAATCTAATATTTTGAAATGAGCTTACAAGTGCAAAACAAAAGTAATAAAGTAATATAAATATTATGATACCACAAGTACACGTGTACATAAATGGTTATCATAATAACATATATTTAAATATTACTTTAACATTATTTTAGTAACCACCACATTTAAGTGTAAAACATTTAAGGACCATGCAAATTAATACTTAAGCTTTATTTTCCAATAAATGTCCAACACTTGTATTGGTTTAGCCTTTAATTCTTCAACTATTTGTACTTTCTTCTCACGTGTTAATGCTCTTGCTTTTCACAATGCCTTGATTGTCCTACTCTGGAGATGAGTAGTTGTGTCTCCTGTTGGAAAAATGTGTTAAAAATTGCATTAAATGGTCATTTTGGGGCAATTATTTGAGTGGGGTCCACTTCCGATTTGGGTCGGGTCAAAGTGGTTTCGGATTGTCCTTGTTAAGGGCTACAATTCGATATGTGGTACACTCAAAACGGATAACGGGTGAATGAGAAATTGATTCTCGAAGTTCACTACGTGAAGTCAAAGGATAACATAGCGGATCCGCTAACCAAGGCATTTGATAGAGAATTGTTGGAGAAGTTGTCACGAGGAATGGGACTAAAGCCCGTGAATTGAAAAGTTCTATAGTGGATACCCAACCTAGTTGGTCCTAGGTTCAAAAGGGACAACTAAATTATAGAGCGAAGGATGGTCACTGTGGGGGTCTCAGACTCCTACCCACTCCTCGTTAAAACAGTGACTCCCGCACGAGGTTAGCAAAAACGTTTGCTTTAATGATTCTAAAATGTTGATCTACTCGATAACATTGGAAGAGTATGCGGGATACTCGTGAAAGAAACACCTATGTGAGAGAGAAGAGGGCCGCTTCAAAGGAGAACTGTATAGGCTCAGTTCTTTAGAAACTCTTGCAGAACCAGGACGGTGACCCATGGCCAAAACGGGCACACCCATGAGAACGGAACAAAGTTGGAAGGTTCTTGTGTAAAGATAAGTCAATGTTTACACGACGGCAGTATAGTTCAAGGACATCGAGTCTACTAGACAGCCAGTAAATAAACGTGTCTTTACAACGGAAGGTTCAAAGGATAAAACCTACCTCTCCGTATGCAAGGATCATCCGGTGAACACAACGTGTCCTCCTATCTTCGTATCTTTTTAAGTCTCGAAAATCAATTTTCATTCATGTGGGGGATTGTTGGAAAAATGTGTTAAAAATTGCATTAAATGGTCATTTTGGGGCAATTATTTGAGTGGGGTCCACTTCCGATTTGGGTCAGGTCAAAGTGGTTTCAGATTGTCCTTGTTAAGGACTACAATTCGATATGTGGTACACTCAAAACGGATAACGGGTGAATGAGAAATTGATTCTCGAAGTTCACTCGTTGAAATGGAAAAACTAGGAAAATGATGAGTTTCTAGTGTGTTTTATCCCACACCGAAAAACTCAAGGGATTTTCACCCCCTTATAAAGGGAAGCCTCTTTTAAGGAGTTAAGATTCCTAAAGGGAAAGGCTCTCTCTTACGTGCGGGGGGGGGGGGGGGGGGGGGGGCTGATCAAATCCCGAAACGGAGAAGAAAAACCTATCTCTCAAGAGATGCAGTTAATTTTTGTTTTCTTCCCGAAACGTTTATTTTTTCCCAGAAGTGCTCCGGACAGAAGGCCTCTAACAGAAACCCTCCGAGGGGTGTTCTGCTGGCTTCGGACAGAAATCCTCCAGGAGGTGTTCTGTTGGCTTCGGACAGAAACCCTCCAAGGGGTGTTCTGCTGGCTTCGGACAGAAACTCTCTGAAAATTCCTTCTGTGTTCTTACTTGGTTCTCGTTCGGTGGAACTCTTGTTTGTGTGCTCAAACATTAGTTCGTAGTCATCGTATCCTGGGAAATGATTGTTGCAACGCTCCTAGCACCGTGGGAGGCAACAAATACGTTTTAAGGAAATCGTGCGTAGCACGAGCTTTGACTAATTCTGCTTCATCTCCTTTCTTGTTTTTCTCTTGTCATTTTATTTTAATTAATCTTTATTAATTAATTTTCTTTATTTTCCGAATCACACCCAACAATCTTAAAACGTATTTGTTGATTGTTCTACTCCGGTAAACAATCTTAAAACGTATTTGTTGAGCTTGTATCATACGGATACAATCGTAAAACGTATTTCTTGATTGTTCTACTGAGGTAAACAATCTTAAATTGTAGTTTGTCACTTTGGTGAACGAACTTATTTTTTTGTGCTTTCGGAAAAACGTTAAAGAACGAAAATGACTTCTCAAGAAAATGAGATTGGTGTTGGGCAGAATGTTCTGAACGACAATCACTCTGAAAGTGGAGCACCGGTGAACAATGGTTCACAACGCGGTGCATCTGCTTTGGCCAACCAAAGGGCTATCCCTATGGTGACCGTGCCAAGCAACTCTGTGGAGAAACCCGAGAAATTCAACGGGTTAAACTTCAAGAGGTGGCAGCAAAAGATGCTCTTCTATCTCACTACTCTCGGTCTTGCTAGATTCTTGACCGAAGATGCGCCGATAGCAACCGGGGGTGAGGTGGATGTGCAATCTTTCAACGTGGTTGAAGCTTGGAAGCATTCTGACTTCCTTTGCCGAAACTACGTGTTGAACGGGCTGCATGATGCTTTGTACGACGTTTATAGCAAATTAGCTACGACTAAGGAGTTATGGAATGCTTTGGACCACAAATATAAAAGCGAGGATGCCGGCGCAAAGAAATTTGTTGTTGGTCGATTCCTTGATTTTAAAATGGTGGATTCGAAGACGGTCTTGAGTCAAGTTGAGGAGATGCAAATGATCTTCAACGAAATTCGAGATGAAGGAATGACGGTTAGTGAGTCATTCCAAGTGGCGTCAATTATTCACTTATTGCCGCCGGCTTGGAAGGATTTCAAGAACTACCTTAAGCATAAGCGAAAGGAAATGAACTTGGAGCAATTGATCCTCCGTCTGCGGATTGAAAAGGATAACCGGAAGAACGATGGGAAACTCCCAATTGTTCATGGTGCCAAGGCAAACGTGGTGGAGCATGCAAAAGGCTCCAAAACCAAGAATAATGGGAAGAGCAAGCTCGGTCCCAAGGGAGGCGTTTCCAAAACAAAGTTTAATGGAAAATGCTTCAATTGCAATAAAAACGGACACAAGTCCGCGGATTGCAAGGCACCCAAGAAGAAGAGGGACTCTCAAGTCAACTTGGTGCAAGGTGGGCAAAAGGATGAAGACATCATCCTAGCGGCTGTGGTTACGGAAGTCAACCTCGTTGGATCCAATTCCAAGGAGTGGTTTGTGGACACCGGTGCAACCCGCCACATTTGCTCAAACCGGGAGTTATTCACAACTTTTGAGCCATCAAATAATGAGAAAGTGTGGATGGGTAACTCGGCTCATTCCGCGGTTGAAGGCGTGGGCAAGGTGGTCCCGAAGATGACTTCGGGCAAAGAGCTGACTCTCAACCAAGTGCTGTTTGTTCCGGAAATACGCAAAAACCTGATTTCCGGTTCGTTGTTGAACAAGCATGGCTTCCGCATGGTTTTTGAGTCGGACAAACTAGTTTTGTCTAAATCGGGAATGTATGTGGGCAAGGGATATGCAGTTGATGGGCAGTTTAAGCTCAATGTAATGACTATTAATAATAATAATAATAATAAAATACCTTCTGCTTACTTGCTTGAGTCTTCTAATGTGTGGCATGGTAGACTAGGACATGTTAATTTTAATTCTATACGTAGATTAATTAACATGGAGCACATTCCTAAATTCACAATTGATGTGAAGCACAAATGTGAAGTTTGTGTAGAGGCAAAACTAACGAAAACGTCTTTCAAATCGGTTGAAAGAAAAACGGAACCACTTGAATTAATTCATAGTGACGTTTGTGATTTTAAATCAATACAAACACGTGGCGGTAATAAATATTTTATTACCTTTATCGATGATAGACTCGCTATAGCTACGTTTATTTATTAAAAAATAAACACGAAGCAATCGATAAATTCATTCTTTATAAGAATGAAGTGGAAAACCAACTTAATCGACGGATTAAGATGGTTAGGAGTGATCGAGGTGGTGAATATGAAGCACCAATTGGTGACTTTTGCGCTAGTGTGGGTATAGTACATGAACGTACCGCACTCTATTCACCTCAATCAAACGGTGTTGCCGAACGAAAGAATCGCACATTGAAAGATATGATGAACGCGATGATAGTAAGTTCGGGCTTGCCACAAAATATGTGGGGCGAAGCAATCTTGACAAGCAATTACCTTTTAAATAAGGTTCCCCGTAAAAAATATGATAAAACTCCGTACGAGTTGTGGAAAGGCAGACGGCCTTCCTATCAATATTTAAAAGTGTGGGGGTGTCTTGCTAAGGTGCTTGTACCAACACCTAAGAAAATAAAAATAGGTCCAAAAACGGTGGATTGTATTTTTATTGGATATGCACAAAATAGTAGTGCGTATCGGTTTTTAGTGTACGATTCGAATAATCCGGATGTACATAAAAACACAATAATTGAATCAAGGAATGCTTCATTCTTTGAAGACGTATTTCCATGCAAGTCCAACGAAGGACCAAACACGTCAAAACGAACATTTGACGTAGCTATGGAAAATACTAGCGAGGGATCCGGAGAAGAACCCGAACCCAGACGTAGCAAACGTGCTAGAATTGAAAAATCCTTCGGACCGGATTTTCTCACCTACCTGATAGAAGTTGACTCGGATATTCTAACATGTATGGTAGAAAATGAACCGGATTTTCTAACATGTTTGGTAGAAAATGAGCCACGGACTTATACGGAAGTCGTGACGTCTACTGAAGGTCCTATGTGGAAAGAAGCCATCAAAAGTGAGGTGGATTCTATCCTTAAAAATCACACATGGGAATTGGTTGATCTTCCTCCGGGAAATAAACCTTTGGGATCCAAGTGGATTTTTAAACGGAAAATGAAACCTGACGGTTCCATCGATAAGTACAAGGCCAGACTTGTAATCAAGGGATACAAGCAACGTGAGGGCCATGATTACTTTGACATGTATTCTCCTGTGACGAGAATAAATTCCATTAGGATGATACTAGCAATTGCCGCATTACGGAAATTGGAAGTTCATCAAATGGACGTAAAAACCGCTTTTCTAAATAGCGATATAGACGAAGAAATCTATATGGAACAGCCCGAGGGCTTTCGTGTTCCAAGCCAAGAAAGGAAAGTGTGTAAATTAATTAAATCATTGTATGGATTGAAACAAGCCCCTAAACAGTGGCACGAAAAGTTCGATCATGCAATGTTAATTAATGGGTTTAAAATAAACGAAAGTGACAAATGCGTCTATGTGAAGAGCACGGTAGACGGCTATGTCATTTTATGTTTATACGTGGATGATATACTCATCGTGGGTAGCAATAATCTAATGATTAATTCTACCAAAAGCATGTTAAATTCTAAATTTGACATGAAGGATATGGGGCTGGCCGATTTAATCCTTGGGATTAAAATAATTAGAGGACCTGACGGTCTTACGCTAAGCCAATCCCATTACGTTGATAAAATCCTTACGAAATTTAATAAGGATGATTATCAAGAGGCAAGGACTCCATTAGATAAAACCGTACAACTTACCAAAAATCGTGGAAAGTGTATTTCTCAAGTAGAATACGCTAGGATTATTGGAAGCTTGATGTATCTAATGAGTTGTACCAGGCCTGATATTGCCTTTGTGGTTAGTAAGCTAAGTAGATATACTAGCAACCCCGGTGATGAACACTGGAAGGCAATAATAAGGGTTTTGAGGTATTTACGTAACACCCAAAATCTTGGACTGCACTATGGAAGATATCCAGCTGTACTTGAAGGGTATAGCGACGCTAGTTGGATATCCGACATAAAGGACTCTAAGTCCACAAGTGGATATGTTTTCACTTTGGGAGGTGCAGCCGTATCAT